GGCCCTTTCCTCATGGCTCAGCTTACCCAGCCCCCCACCCTCAGAAAGGATCCAGATGCCTCAACAGTAAAAGCCCTCTCTGCTCCCTCAGCTCAGCCTTTAGCAGGCTCTCCAGCCTCCTTGCAGAATTCAAGGGGGTCTCAGCACTTGGCCCCGAGGTGGGATGTGGACGCCAGCTTGTGGTCTCAGGCCTTCATTGCACTGAATGCTGACCCTTGACTGGCTGCAGCCTATTCCACAGCTTGGGTGGGAAGACCCCACTGTCCTAGTTATCCTTTCCCGGAAAGATAGCTTTAGCTTTTGGAAGGGGAAGGTCCCGTTGGTCCCACTCCTGCAGGTCCTTATGTTCCAACCTCACTCTTTCCTGGGGTCAGTGTGCAGTGTACATGCGTGTGCACACGTGTGTGAGTGGGCCTGAGCCCCCACATGCCCATCAGCCTGCTCAGTTTCACCTGTCATCCCGGCCCCTCCCTGTAAGCCACCTCCCTGGGTGGGTGAAGCCAGGATACCCGAGCCCACTTAAGCCCCTGTTGGTTTGCCCTGTGCCTTTCCCAGGCCAGCGAGCCAGCCCCCAGGGGCAACCCAGGCTGGGACACTGGACACTCCTCCCCTGCCCCGGGGTCAGGCAGCCTGGTCCTGTCCCCCCTCAACATTGCTGGCCAGGCGCAGGCAGCTTCTGTCCTGTCTGCTCCCAGAGCAGCCCCTGGTTTCACCCAGTCCCCAAAGGGCCTCGAGGCAGGGTTCACTACCGGGCGGAGATAATTCAAGCGACACCCACTTGGGTGGATCAGGCTGCATCTGAGGCCAGTTTGGGAGGCTTTCGGTTCTCAGATAAGCTGTCTGCTGGGTGAGGAAGCGTCACCTTCTGTTTCTGAGGATCTGCACAGACACTACTGCTCAGCCTCTCGACTGGGATTGCATGGCAGGAGTGACGTGGGATGTGAGCTCCCACTCAGAAAAGGGCAGGAACCTGGGACAGGTCAGAGACCACAGATGAGAGTGGGCACAGGGACATCTCAGCCCTGGGAGGAGGGTTTGCTGCTGCAGCCCTGCCCTCCTGCCCTGTAAGCTCCCGCAGAGCTGGCCCACTGAAGCAGCTCTGCAGGGACCTGGCCAGCCATGCTCACTGGAGGTAGCATGTGGCACTCAGGACCAAGGGCTCCGATTCCAGCCACAGGAGCTAATCCTGAGTGATGACGACGGATAAGTTCTTTCACAGTGGGAGTCAAATTTTAAGCATTTTTCTGCCCCTAACTCTGCTTCTCTCCCTACGCCATGCCACGTGCAAACATTTCCTGCAAACGGCACTTATCCAACAGCAGGTATTAGGTTTTCTGCTGAAAACACGAGTGGTAGTCTCTCAAAACAGCACTTTGTATGTAACCAAATATGCTCCATTCCCAGCTAACTTGCCCCTCCAGGAAAATTAGTGTTTGTAAAGAATTGTTAGGTTAAAGGGGTCCTATATACAAACCCCTGTCTTTCAATCAAAACTTCAAACTGAGTTCTATTAATATCCCAATTTACTAAATTTGCCAAATTCTTAATAATAAGAAAGAATTCTATTTCAAGAGTTCACGTCTGTTAGGGAAATATTTTTAAGTTGTTTCCAAGAGTTAGTCAAATCTAATGGGAAAATTAACACAAATATCAAAGATTCAGTTAACTTGTGGGACCTAATCGGTGGCCTAGATTAGTGCCCTGAATGGGTTTATTCAGTGATGCAGTAGTTAGTGTTTGAAAAGATTCAAAAACTCGACTTCCGGCAAGATGGAGGAATAGATGGACGCACCGTGCCTCCTCGCACAACCAAGATTAGAACAACAATAATTTACAGATAGAATAACACTCAGAACTCATAGAGGATTTATCTGAATGGAAGTTGGACAGCCAAGAAGTTGAAGTAGACCCGTACATCCAGACTGGTAGGAGACGATGAGCTGGGCAGGCGCCAGGCTGGCGTGGGTCGGTGGCGCATGGAGGTCGGGGAAAATTTGGCACGAAATCGGTACGACAGCCATCTGGGGCGCAAGAACGCAGCGGTGATCCCTGAGTACGCAAGCTGCGGCTGGTGGACCCAGTGAGGCAGCGATTGTGGACCAGGGCAGAGCTCGCAGCCCAGGATCCCAGAGAAGGGTCTGAGCCCAGGAGAACGGAACTACCGCCATTGTTCCCTCCCATCCCCGCTCCCGCCCCCGCCCCCACCCCCACCCCCCACCCCCCACCCCCCACCCCCCACCCCCCACCCCCACATATAACGTCACAATCTAGCGACTGGGGTGCCCAGCCCCGGTGAACACCGTAACCAGGGCAACCAGACTGAAAAAAAAAAAGAGAGACAGGAAAAGACATAAGATATGTTTCCAACAGAACAGATCAGTCCCCCAGGACTCATCCTTTTGAGCGACCAAGAAATAGCCAATCTATCAGATGCACAGTTCAAAACACTGGTGATCAGAAAGCTCACGGAATTGGTTGATTTTGGGCGCAATTTAGATGAAAGGATGCAGGTTACCATAAAAGAGATGCAGGAAGATACGCGGAGGAGAGCCAATAGTGAAAGGAAGGAATCTGAGTCTCAAAACAATACAGTGGACCAGAAGGAAGATAGAATCAACCAAGCAGGAAAGCATGATGAAATAAGAATTCAAAAAATCGAGGAAAAGCTTAAGAGCATCCAGGACACCTTTAAACGTTCCAACATCCGAATTATAGGGGTACCAGAACAGGAAGGAGAAAAGCAACAGATGGAGCACGTATTTGAACAAATAATAAAGGAGAACTTCCCCAGTCTGGCAAAGGGAACAGTCTTCCAAAAAATCCAAGAAGCTCAGAGAGCCCCAAAGAAGTTGGACCCAAGAAGAAACACACCAAGGCACATCATAATTACATTAGCCAAGGTAAAAAATGAAGGAGAGAATCCTAGAAGCAGCAAGAGATAAGGGGACAGTAACCTACAAAGGAGTTCCCATCAGACTGTCAGCTGATTTCTCCAAAGAGACCTTACAGGCAAGAAGGGGCTGGAAAGAAATATTCCAAGTCATGAAAGACAAGGACCTACATCCCAGATTGCTCTATCCAGTAAAGCTCTCATTTAGAATGGAAGGGAAGATAAAGTGCTTTTCAGATAAGGTCAAGTTAAAGGAGTTCATCATCACCAAGCCCTTATTTTATGAAATGCTAAAGGGACTTATCTAAGAAAAGAAGATAAAGAAAAAACATGTATAGTAAAAGGACAGCAAACTCACAATTATGAACAACCACACCTAAAGCAAAACCAAAAGAAACTAAGTAAACTAGAACAGGAACAGAACCACAGAAATGCAGGGCACATGGAGAGCTAGCAGCAGGGGGGTGGGAGGAGGAGAGAGGGGGAAGAGGTATAGAGAATAAGTAGCATAGAATGTAGGTTGATAATAGATAGGGGGAGGGCAAGAATAGTACGGGAAATGTAGAAGCTAAAGAACTCATAAGAATGACACATGGACATGAACTAAAGGGGGGGAACGTGGGTGGGAGAGGGGGTATAGGGGGGAGGGGAGAGAATGGGGGAAATGGGACAACTGTAATAGCATAATCAACAAAATACATTAAAAAAAAAGAAAAGATTCAAAAACTCACAAAAGGAATCCAAGAATCCTGGAAATGTTCATCCAGAAGGGCTTTAGAAACCCTGAGCCCCTCATTTCTTTCCTTCATGCCTTTTTCTAAAACACGATTTTATTTATTTTTAGAGAGAAGAGAAGGGAGGAAGAAAGAGGACAAGAAACATCAAAGTGAGAGAGAAACATTGATCCATTGCTTGCCTCTCAAACCTGAGAGGCACCCTGAGTGGGGACTGAACCTGCAAACCAGGCATGTGCCCTGATGGGACTCAAACCCACAACCTTTGGCCTCACAGGATGACACCTGACCCACTGAGCTATACCGGTCAGGGCTGTTCATGGTTCATTTTAGAGACTTTTTCTTTCTTCCCTCCCTCCCTCCCTTCCTCCCTCCCTCCCTCCCTCCCTCTTTCTCCCTTTCTCTTTCTCCCTTTCTTTCTCTCTCTTTCTTTCTCTCTCTTTCTTTCTTTCTTTCTTTCTTTCTTTCTTTCTTTCTTTCTTTCTTTCTTTCTCTCTCTCTCTCTCTCTCTCTCTCTTTCTTTCTTTCTTGTTAGGCTCACTGGAAAATTGAGTGGAAGGTACAGAGGTTTCCTATATATTCTCTGCCCTCTTCTACCAAAATACCCTAGCAGAGTGGGGTGTTATTTCAGAGTCGATGAACCTAAACTGACACATCATCACCAACACCTCCTAGTTTCCACTAGGGTTTCCTCCTGGTAGTGTACATTCTATGGGTTGGGACGAATGTTTAATGCCATGTATCCATCATTATACTATCACACAGAGTATTTTCACTGCCACAAAAATCCTCTGTGCTCTACTTATTTATGCCTTCTTCACCCCACCCCCTGACAACCCCTGACCTTTTTGCTGTCTCTAGTTTTGCCTTTTCCAGAATGTCATATGATTGGGCTCATACAGTACATAGCCTTTTCCAATTGGATTCTTTTGTGTAGCGATACGCATTTCAATTTCTTCCATGTCTTTCCATGGCTGCAGAGCTCATTTCCACCTCATGCTTTTTAAAAGAAATATATTTTAACCTACTCAATGTGCCAACAAATCTTATCCTCTTAATATCTGGAGTATTCACAGTTTAACTGCAATTCAAAAAGTTTCCTAAATATTTGTTTTAGCTTAATGTTCAGTGAAGTGTTCGAGGTTGAACATAAGTGAGATGCTGTACACCCACAGCTGCTACTTAGTAAGGAAGAAGGAGGGAAAGAAGGAAGAAACAGGGAGGCAGGGAGGAAAGCCAGGAGGGCATTGTTCTTGTTTCTCCCTTCTCTTGTCATCTATCCCACAAACTAGGAGAATCAAGTTCCCTTAAAGAAGTTAAATTAAAACTACGTTTTCTCCTTTACCTCAATGCCTGTCTTCCTTCAGTCTACTCACCACAAAACAACAAGAATGATCTTAAAGCTTTGATCAAATTGTCTCACTCTGATCCCCATCAGATGGTCTCTCAGAGCACTGAGGATGAAAATCCAAATGCCTTGTTGAAACGTAGGTTTGGCTCCCTGCCAGAGAGAAAGTCAAACTCGTGAGACAGGTGCTGGTGCAAAAGGAAAGAGGTTTATTCAGGTGCCGCATGACCTAGGAGAATGGTGGTCCCCCATCTCAAAGACCATCTCCCCTTCCAGCTCCAGCCCACAGTTCTTATAGAGATAGGGAGGGGAGGACTTTTTTTTCTATCAAACTGTCTTTCTGGCTCTTGGAACGCTGGGGTCCTGTCCATTCACCTTTCTAGTTTTGGGGGCACTCAGTGTAAGAACCTGCTCCTGCACCATCCCGGCCCACAGGAGACTCCCCGGCTTTTCACTGACTGGCTAAGGTAACACTGCCCTTCAAATGGCTGACCCCGTGGGTCTCACCAGCAAACTAACGAGCTCCTCGCCACCTCCTGTTTTCTCCTTCACCATCATTTGTTTGTTTCATTTACCGTACTTACCAAAACATAAGTGATTTTCCTTGTCTATGTCCTTTTTTTACATCCATCTCTGGCCGTCAGCTAGCACATCATCGGGCATGTGAGAGGCTCTCAGTAAGTGCTTCTCAGGTGAAAACAGAATTCAGGGTGTCACTTGATGAAGTGGAATGTTCCTCAATCAGGAGAAACAAAGACGTCAGGAAAAGAGGGCACAGTTGGGGGTCAGTAAGTGGCCAGGGACTGTCTTTAATGACTCAAAAAAATCATGCAGAAAAAGTAAACTTTGATCTTTGAAAAATGAATGCATCTACCCTTAGGCTAAAGAAGCAGACATGCTTTAACAGCATTGTGATGAAAATTGCATTAAGCTTTGCCACAAACTTTTCATACTGACTCTTTATAGTTGGTGACAATAAAAAAACAGTTATCAGACCCTAAAGGAGTGTTTCAGAAGATGGGCCTATATACATATTTCTGACCTGCAGTTTTAGAGAATAAAATAGCTAGAGGCCAAAATCGACATAGTTTTATCCTCTGTGCATGTAAATCATGACCTCATAACATCTATAACTCAGATTAAGTTGAGTTTTGATTTATGATAGGAGAACTGTCCAAGGAAACCCATGGGAGTGTTCATAACTAAAAAAAAAAAACTGATGGCAAGAGATAGGTAGTATTTTTATTTTTGCCCAAAGATATTCCCTAAATATTACAAAAAGGGAAGCCAGCCCAAGGTTCTGGCCACATCACACTGACTCTCCTCAAGAGGGGCGTTTCCTGGTCAACAGCAGAGAATCTGTGGCAAAGCCGAAACACTGTGTGTTTTGGGACAAGCAGCTGGAGTTTACAGGAAGACCAGAAATCCATGTCAGGCTTGAAAAGAGTAGTGAAAACAATTTTTCAGCTATGAAAATACAAATATTTGGAAGATGAATGGCCCACCATACCAGCTATGCCTGAAACCTCCCCAAGTACTGCTGGCTCTCTTCTTACCCGAGAGGTGGCAGGGCCCTTGGCAGCCAGCACAAGACGGTGGGGCTGGTGCTTGCCAATCCACCAAAGATGTGCCACAATGCACGAGTGGGTAAGATCACTTGCAGGTGATTCTCGGGAATGACGATCCTGGAAGAGAGCTTGTTCTCACATAAGAAGACACGCTAAACTTTGTCCCTCGCTAAGGAACCTGGGAGTCCAAGCAGAGTGTCCTTTGAGTGAGCACGGGCTCCAGAGAGCTCTTCTGAGGGAAGAAGCAGCGCATGGGGAAGGGCGGAATTCACAGCATCAGACAAGTACAAGTGGACTTCGACTTTAATTTCAAACAAGCATAAACAACAAGACATTGGAAAACAGTTCTGCGGGAGCCACAGGAGGAGGGGAGAGACAGTGAGCAAGGCCAGTTTCAGAAGGAGAGCCAGGTGTGAAAGTCCCAGGGATTCTGGTTGACAGGGTGGGGTTATATGTTCTTAACATTCTGTAGGCCTCTCTGAGCTCCAACAATTTTTTTTTAAGATTTTATTTATTTATTTTTAGAGGGGGAAGGGAGGGAGATAGAGAGAGAGAAACATCACTGTGTGGTTGCTGGGGGTCATGGCCTGCAACCCAGACATGTACCCTGACTGGGAATCGAACCTGCGACACTTTGGTTTGCAGCCCAAGCTCAATCCACTGAGCTATGCCAGCCAGGCAACAATTCTAACTTAGCAATTCTACAAACATTTAACAAGAGGAAGGTCTTCTATTTTCTGTGCAATAAAAATAATCAAACCATCCATCCGAAGTTCAGGACAAGGTTGATACTCTCGAAGGAATCTGACACTGCATTATGAGATTAGCAAAACTTAGAAAACTCAATTAAATAACACTAAATCATTAGATGTCTACAAATGATTAACTCGTGTACTACATAATTACAGGATTTAGTCAAGGTTCTCTAATGTACTGAAGTAAATGAAGCTTTGAAAGCAGTTCTCTTTGAAATTTAATAGGACAGTTTAAAGAAAGAAAAAAAAGTCTTTAAAAAAAGAAAGTCGCAAGAATACAAAGAACTTGGTAAATCTGATAAAGGTGTAAGAAATGCCATATTGGACAGTCATTTGAACTGTCAAAGTAATAAAGGGTGCCCAAGAAAAAAATAGATAAAAGGAAATTCTACTGAATTCAGAGTAGTCAGAAGTCCTAATTTCTAACATTGATTTCTTAATTCTAATTGGATTACTTTAGGTAAACCCCTTGATTTCCTCAGGAATTTTTTCCCTAGTAATTTAGTTCTGTTGGTCTAATATATTTTTTACTGGTCTTTTTTTGAGAGAGTGAGAGAGAGAAAGAGAAAGAGAGAAACTTTGATATGTTGTCCCACTTGTTTATGCATTCTCTGGTTGCTTCTTGCATGTGCCCTGACCAGGGATTAGATGTGCTGCCTTGGCATATCGGGATGACACTCTTACCAACTGAGCTACCCAGCCAGGGCCAGTCTAATACATTTTTGGTTGCTTACTATATACCATGAACTTTTTAGTACAATGGGAAAGCACAGAAGAATAAAACATAGCTGCCTCCCATGAGCCTGATAGGTTAAAACACTGCATTACTTTGTGATGTATACACTGATGGAAATGTATCCAAAACAAAAAGTGTGCATTGCAATTTGCTATGGATTGAATGTTTGTGTCCCCCTAAACCTCATATGTTAAAGTCCTGGTCCCCAGTGAGACAGTATTTAAAAGTGGAGCCCTTGGGAGGTGATTAGGTTGTGAGGGTGGACTTCTGATGAATGAGACTAGTGCCCTTAAGATGCTCTGTTTCCACTGGATGTGGGAGCAGCAAGAAGGCAGCCAGCTGTCACGCTGGAGCAGGTCCTCACCTGACGTTGACTGCAGCATCTGGATCTTGGACTTCCGAGACACCACAAGAGTGAGAAATGGATGTTTGTTTTTAACTCACTCAGTCTGTGGGATTTTTCAAAGCAGGACAAGCAGACTAAAGCATTCATTTACACAACAGCCATCACATGAACTCCTTCAACCCACACATTGCTTTGGTCTGCCCCATAACAAATGCTGGTTTGGAATGTAATACCTCTTCAGCAATTCCCTGTTTTTCAGTTCTGGTTATTGCATCACATTAAACGCACTGCTGAAAAAAATATATAAAGGCTTATACATACAGAAAATTCTTTCATTCATGGGTAAACCAGATTGGCAAAGTATAGATGAACTGTGGAAATAGTGGAAAGTGTGTGAAAAGACAGCAAAGAGAATGTAGATTTTTAAGTCTTAGAAGACAGTGAATACATTCATGAGTGATGACAACTGATTGGGAAGTAATAGCACATTAGCCCTAATGAAAGGAAAGGATTGCACAGTCTGACTCTGGTGAAAATTTAGCTTGTTATTCCTATACCCAGACTTTCTTCTGCTGTTTTCTCATTTCTCCAAGTTCCCCATTTCTCCAAGCCTGGGAATTGTCCTGCGCTCCTTCTTCAGCACCCCTCCTCATCCAACCTGTGACCAAGTCTTTTCATTCTCTTCCTTTCTATTTTAATCCTCACCTGAGGATATGTTTTTATTGGTTTCATTTTATTTATTTATTTATTTTTATGATTTTATTTATTTATTTTTAGAGAGGGAAAGGAAGGAGAAAGAGAGAGAGAGAGAAACATCAATGTGCAGTTGCTGGGGGCCGTGGCCTGCAACCCAGACATGTGCCCTGACTGGGAATTGAACCTGTGATGCTTTGGTTCACAGTCCGCGCTCAATCCACTGAGCTACACCAGCCAGGGCAAAATTATTTTTTATTGATTATGCTATTACAGCTGTCCTGATTTTCCCCTTTTGCCCCCTCTCCACGCAGCACTCTCTGTGCCTCAGGCACCCCCCCCACCATGGTTCATGTCCATGGGTCATACATGTAAGTTCTTTGGCTATTCCATTTCCTATACTGCACTTTACATCCCCATGGCTATTCTGTAACTACCTATTTGTACTTCTTAATCCCCTCATCTCCCACCCATTCTGTTACAACTCCCTCCCATCTGGCAACCATCAAAACACTCCTTATCCATGATTCTGTCTCTGTTATTCTGTTTGCTTAGATTTTTTTTAGATTCAATTGTTGATAGATTTGTAATTTTTTCCATTTTATTGTTCATAGTTTTGATCTTCTTTTTCTTAAATAAGTCCCTTTCACATTTCATTTAATAATGTTTTGGTGATGATAAGCTCCTTTAGTTTTTCTCTTGTCTGGAAAGCTCTTTATCTGACCTTTGATTCTAAGTGATAGCTTTGCTGAGTAGAGCAATCTTGCCTGTAGGTCCCTGCTTTTCATGACTTTGAATATTTCTTGCCAATCCCATCTAAGCCTACAGAGTTTCTTTTGAGAAATCAGCTGCACGTCTTATGGGAACTCCCCTGTAAGTAATGAACTGCTTTTCTCTTGCTGCTTTTAAGATTCTCACTATATCTTTAACGTTTTTTATTTTAATTACGATGTGTCTTGGAGTGGGCCTCTTTGAATCTGTCTTGTTTGGGACTCTCTGTGCTTCCTGTACTTGCACTGTTTTTATTGATTTTAGGGAAAGAGGAAAAGGGAAGAGAGAGAGAGAGAGAAACTTTGATTGGTTGCCTCCCATATATGTGCTGCAACCAGGGGTCAAACCCACAACTTAGGTATGTGCCCTGGACTGAGGATCAAACCCACAACCTTTTGGTGTGTGGGATGATGCTCCAACCAACTGAGCCACCTGACCAGGGCTCAGTTCTCCTTCTGAACAGATGTTTGCAATTCCCTGTTTCCACCGCCACAGTGCAGGCCTCCGCCCTCTCTCTTCCAGCCGACTGCAATAGTGAACTGCATTTCTATCTCCAGTATAGCCTTTTTTTTTAAGGTTTTTAAAATTTATTTTTAGAGAGAGGGGAAGGGAGGGAGAGAGAGGGAGAGAAACATTATATGTGGTTACCTCTTACATGCCTCCCTAGGGAGTTGGCCCATCACCCAGGTATGTGCCCTGACTAGGAATCGAACTGGTGACCTCTCAGTTCATAGGCCAGCACTCAATCCATGGAGCCACACCAGCCAGGGCTCCAGTACAGTCTTTACACTTCTATTAGACAAAGCACATTTTTTCAGTTCCTCTCCATCCTACCACCCCTGTGCTCTTTATTACCACAGAATAAATAAATAAATAAAATGCAACTCCTTGGCACATAAGACCCCTTACAGTTTATTATGTTGCTTGTGGGCAAAAGGAGTGGGGAGGGAGGACAATAAACTTCTGAGAGCTTTGGGTCTCTGAGGGTCTTGGTTTCCACATAAGGGATGCTATGGAGCAGCAAGAGGTTCCTGAATCCTGCTCTCAGGGGGGTATGAGTTTCAGGCACAGACCTGCTGGCTTGAAAAGTAAAGCCCAGCCCAAATCACCTGACCCACCTCTGCCCATTTCCCCAGTCTTCCCACCTTCCCTTGGCTCCAGCTCTCCACCTGCTGTGCTCTCTACTGAGCAAGCTCAGTGAACTGCAGTGAAGGCCTTACTGGGGCCACCACCACTGCCAGCCAGGGACGTGGGAGACTGAAACTGCAAAGCATACACTAGGTTGGGGAAGCATAGTCTCACCAGCAGGTTGACTTTGAGATTTTTTGTTCTGAAGTAATTATAAATTCACAGGAAGTGGTTAGAGAAAACACACACGGAGGTCCCTTGCATACCTCACGCTTCCTTCCTCAACATTACCAGCATCCTCCTGCACAGTGTGCAAACTCAGCACCATGAAACTGACAGTGGTGCCTCCCATCATACACACAGTCATTGTCACGTGCCTGTGTGTGCACTTCCAGGCAACTGATCACAGGTGTGGCTTTGGTGGCCACCACCCCGATCACGATGCTGAACTGCCCCCTCACCGCAGCCCCCTATGCTGCCCCTTTATAGGCACTCTTCTTCCCCTACCCACAATCTAGTCCCTGGTGATGACTAACCTGTTTTTCCTCTTCTACTTTCTGGAATGCTATATAAGTGGGATCACACAGTTCATGACTTCCTGAGTTCACCTGTACACTTGCCATACTTCTCTGGAGGGTCGTCCATGTTCTTGCACGTCTAGCTGCCTTTTGATGGTCTGTTTTGTCTA